AGATTAAAGATGAAGTATGGTGTTTCTCCTACTTCGAATGTGGTTCGCAAACCTCATATTACTCATCTAGGGGTAGTTATGCGCGAAGTACCAACTCCAATTTCTCTTGACTCAAAGAAACGAAGGGATGAGGATATGGCCAAGAAGATTTCGAAGAAAAAGAAGAAGATAAAGAAGAGGCAGTGAGTAATTCCAACAAAATCATCCGAAGAAGTTCCTGAAACAGTCGAACCCGAACCTATTATAGAGCCTACTTCTCCTGAGAAGACTGTTGTCATACCACCCGAAGTTTCGTCTGCCAAATCATCTCATGAGGAGGTACGAACTTCAGAAATCACTACAAACATATCTAATACGGATGTAAATGTCATCATGGGTGAAGGAGATCTATCGAAGGAAACTACTCAACCTCCACAAGGTACTCTAATTATTGTTTTTGTCGCACCCATTACAAGTACCTTTGTTTCTTTACCTCCATTTATCATCCCGACTACTTCCACCACTGATTCACCAACCTTTAAAAACATCATCGACCAACCCTTTACATCCATTTTTCATCCTAATTCTCTGATCCACCCCAAGCGAATGATGAATCTGATAATGAAGAAGGTGGATTTGGCGGTACTTTTGAAGATATGGATTTTGATGAAGAATAGGAGGATTTTCCTTACCATATTCTCATGTGCATGAAACAATTCAAAATACTGAATAAAAAGTTGAATTCAATTATTCAATCACAAGAAGACATGGGGGGAGGAAGTTCAGTGTCCAGTTTCGAAATTGATGGACTAATGAAGGCTTGTGAGGCACGAATGGTGAACAGGATGTCTGGTATGCTTACAGATACCGAGTCTAGAATCTTAGAGAAGGTTGATCAAAATGATCAAAACACTGAGTTAAGGGTAAATTCTTTCAATTCAAAATATGTGGGAGCTGTGAAAGAGTTAACGAATGTTCAAAAGGAACGACACACACTGTTCGTTATGGATGTGAAGAAGGTGAGAGAAGATGTAAATTTGAAGCTTCAAGAGCTTCGTGATGACATGGTTCGTGAAGTTCCAGTTGTTCAGAATGATTATGCCACTCTGCATAAGAATGTTGATATCATTTGTGATGCTGTCACAAAGTATGTTACATTGTATGAAAGCTTGAGTCCTCAAATTACTCAACTTTCTACAACCGACAATCAACAGTTTGGGGAGGTTATTTTGATGCTTAAAGATTTGAAGGAGTTGGTGCTCAAGCCTGCTACATCTTCGATAATTACTCTAGAGTTTCTCTCACAAAAGTTTACGCAGTTCGAAGCCATTCTCCATAAACAAGTAGCTCCTCTGTCAACCATTTCGAATCTTCTTCCAACTGGTGCCCCACCTGTTCGAACAGTGGTGCAAGTGGGAGAAAAGAGAGTTGGAGAAGGTTCTCATGTGAAGGCTGAAGGTGATGCTTCGCATGGAGAAGCTAAGGTTGTGGGCAAAGTTTATCCTTCGAAAATTCCGACGACCAAGCCAATAATTTCGAGGGTTGGACCAGTTACTTCAACTGTTGTAACGTCCATCAATCACAAAGTCGATCGCGAAGGGAATTGTAATTGGATCATCTACTGGCCAATGTGAGGCTTCAAAAACAAAAGATGCTACAGATAAATCAACAAACAAAGGCAAGATGATTGTTGTTGAAAAATCAAAAGAATAGAAGAAAGCAGAGGTCGAAGCAGAGATTAAAAAGCTAAGGGTAGTTCAGAGCATAATGAGGCAAAGGGCGAGTGATCCTCCTGGTTTGAACAAAGGATATCCTGCCAAACATTATAACTATGAAATGATTAAAGCGAAGGTGGCATTCAATCACATGTATGCATTCGAAAAGAAACCAAAACAAAGTTATGAGGTTTCTAATGTAGACATGAGCCAGCTGGACTTTCCGATTAATGAGTAATGTTCCTCATGCCTCAATTCAAAATCTCTGATAAATTCAAAAGTGAAAGTGATTACAACTACATGAAACTTCGTTTTCATACAGTTCTTACAAAGGCTCTTGAGGAAATTTGGTCACTGATAAAAATCAAGAAGGTTATAAGCATCAAGATGGATGTTTTATTTGAAGACATGATGCAGAATGTGAGATTCATTGTTGCAAAAGAGAATGGTCAGACTTGTGATTTCACAGTCGCAGATTTTCCTCTCATGAATTTGTATGACCTTATACAAATGGCTCTTCTCCTAAAAGATAAAAATTCCTCATACCTTCCAGAAACTGAATCTAATATTTTTCGACTGGAAGTGGCTCACATCAAGATCTTCTTGGAGAATTATTACGAGTGTTTAGCACTTACAGATGTGGAGCTAGAAATAGTGACAGGGCTTGAAGTCAAAGTACCCATGGATCCATCCAAGTCTCAACAAGAATTGAAGAAATATGCTGATGGGAAAATATGTTTAAAGCCTTTCAGTTTGGTATTTGTTGGTAAAGATAAAGATGGAAAGTCGAAGAGATTTTTGTTCCAAGCCACTGAAATCGAAAGATATACAACGTCTCAATATACGAACTTCATTATTTATATGAATAATTGCAAGAAAAACAACGAAGAAGATAAGAAGGAGCTGAAGAAGAATATATCATGGTACACGGAAGTTCGAAGGGTGATGATGTATGCCATCCAAATTCTCACAACCTGAGAATTCGATTTCATTCCAAAGGGGGAGATTGTTTGGGTCAAAGACATTTTGTAATGGGTCGAAGACCATACCCTTCGTGTACTTTGTAATGTATTTACTAAGGCGTCTTATATGTTCGAAGCTTAATTGTCATGTCTTAATATTTTTTGTATACTTTCCTGTTCCCTATAAATAGGAACTTTACTTAGAGTTAGAGAAGAAGTCTTTACAGAACTTGTCTTTGTACTCTCTGTAAAGCTGTGAAAGTATAATAGAGTTGAAACAAGATCATATTTACATCTCGTATTCTTTCATATCGTTTTCACTCTGATTTGATTCGCATATACTTGATTGACGATTCTTCAGATCCTACCAAATAAGCCATGTTATATCACAATTAAGGAATGAGGAGATGATTTGTACACAACAATTTTTCTCCATACACAATAATTTGTGCTTTAAAATGTATTAGAAATTACATCATTGTTACCTAAAAATTAGGGAAACCCCAAAACCCTCATCCTTGATTTGCTCGATGTTCTTGAAATAGAAATTGGACAAATGTTACCACATTATCATCAGATGACAGGCTTGTTATTGCATCATGAACTCCCGGTTAAAGCTTAATCTGGTTGAAGATGTTATCATTCTATTGATGAAAAATCTATATAACATATTTGTATGGATAATCAAACCCTTTTTAAGTTGTGAATTGTATTAGGTGTGAGATGTTTTTACTTTTGTGACATTATACGCACATGGCATGAGTAACCAATTATGAGGTATTTGACATAATAAATACAATTATGAGGTGCTCTACCTAATAAATGTTATTTTGGACAAAAACTACTTAATTATTAGACATTAATGAGAATAACTTTTGAAATAAGATAAAACCGTTAATCCTTAACACTTTACGACTTTTTTTTTTGGAAACGAAGAATATTATAAACCATCCTAAAAAGAATAATGATGGGCGAACAAACAAAGAAATTACAAAATGAAATGTGAACAGACCCAATCACCTTATTTACAATCTACAAACTTTTCCCTAAACATAACTCAATTAAAGAGTAATGTAAAAATATTATCTGCCAATTTAGAGGGAGAATTTATACCTTGTTAAAAAAAATTGTTGTTTCTTGCTTTCCACATATACCAAAGGAAACCATAGAAGATAATAACAAGAATTTTCTGTTTCCGAGAACAATTTCCCCGATTAGCCTCAAAATCAACACAATCCAAGACCTTGGAAAAAAGATGGACCAAGATGTCGTACCATCTAGAAATCCAAAGCAGAGACTCACAAGCGAAAGAATAATACACAAGAAGATGGTTGACATGTTCCACCCCCCTAGAACACATAATGTAGGAAGTAGAAGCAATGCCAATACTTTTATAAGAAAGAGCTACAATCGAAGGAATACGCCCAATCAAACCCTCCATACAAAACCAATGCATTTTTAAGACACTAATTTAATCCAAATGGTAAGGTTAATCACCAAAGTTGTAACTTTATTATTGATAATAGTCCTAAGATCCGAACATAAGACACACCATCTTTAGAAAGTTTAGATTTGCAACGCTTTTGTTTCAATATCATCCACATTTAGAAAAAAAACTTAGTTAAAAGATATCATCGACATTTAAAAAAAAGTTAGTTAAAAGTAAAATTCTAAATTGTGTTAGTTAATATATTTGGCGTACAAGCTGTGAGTTGAAAAGCTACTAGATAGCTGAAAGCTAGTTATTAAATAAAAAAAACTAGTTAGTAGCTAAAAACCTATATGTAAAAAATAACGTTTTGTAAAACTAGCTGAAAAACTGACTGAAAGATTTAAATAACATAAAAAAACATTTAAAAGAATGTGTTTCTATAATTAATTAAGGGGTATATTTGAAAAAACTCATAAAAAGCTAGTGTAAGTAAAATTTTAAAAAACTAGCTTTTAAGTTAATTTTTGGTTTGCCAAACATGACAGCTTAAAAAAACTCAAAAAATAAACTAACTTATCAGCCAACTATAGCACGCCAAACATATATTTATCGATTTTGGCGGGTGTTTGGGAGTGTTTTTTGAACTCTAAAAATGCTTTTAGATAGAAATGTTTATTTGTTTATAGTGGTGGTAAACGAAGTTTTTTTTAAAAGTGTTTGGATAAATTTTTATAGTGAAAATGCCAATAAGTGAATAAGTTAAAAAATATTTGGCTTACAAAGTATTTTTTTTAAATTATTTTGGTTGAAAAGCTATAACAAATTCCAAAAAACCAAGTTTTAAATGCTTATTAAAAAATAGTTTTTAAAACTTATAAAAGAAACTATTCTAAAAATATTTTTGCATTCGCAAACTTATTAGCTTTAAAAAAAAACCAAGGATTTTTCTTTGTGTCTTTTCTAATTTCCCTTTCTCCTTTTTCTCAATACGAACATGAATTCCTCTTATCAATTCTGTACAAAGATTTGATCATTTTACCACCTGCAAATCAACCGTGGTTCCCTTCTCCCCTTCCCTCTCTCTCAAATGGCGTTGGCCCTTCTCAGAAAAACCTTCAATTCGTTAAACCCTAATGATAGAATCCTCCGATCCCTATCTTCCTACGCCGCTGTTGCCACAAACAACGCCGAAAAACCCGTATCCGACAGCTCTTCTTCCTCCTTCACCTTCTCACCAGATCAGAATGACAATACCAACACCACTAACAAGGGCAACGCCGCCGCCTCTGATGATATATACATCAAATCAAAAAAACCGCCGCCTTCGACGTCCGTGACGATGCCGATGTCGTTCATGACCGGATCGATAGTCGGGAAGAGGTTCTATAAGCAAGTAACGACTAGAGTTGCAGAAGATGGAAACGGTTGGTCTGTGATGCTTGATTACAGAACACTTAAAACACCTTCTAAGAGGCCTCTGAAATGCCCTACTCTCCCTCTTGCTAAAGCTATCGCTGCTGAATGGGATTACCAGGTTCTCCTCTCTCCCAAATTGATTACTAAAATTTTCATTTTTCATTCATCTTCTGATCTTAATTCTGTTTAATTCTTATTAAATATCATAACTATCCACCAAAACAACATTAGATTCTGTTAAAGTTGAATGATCACCTGCATTCGAAGCCCTAATTAGATTAAACCAAAAACAAAACGTTCAATCACAATACGATTGAAATTCGAGTTTCACATCTTAAATTTATGGTTTTAACAAGCCATTTGAGTAATTAATTTTGTTGGTTGTAGCTTACAGATGGAATCAGGCCATTTACAATGCCTCTAATGAAACTTGCATGTACTGCTTTGGAGAGAGTTCCCCTCACTAGATCACATATTATCAATAATTTAATGACAAGGTTTCATCAAGATTTGGTGTTTTGCAGAGCCCCAGATGATAATGAGTTGACAACTGGTGTCTATGGTATGAATTAATATCACATAAACTTTGTCTTTTCAAAACATGTTACAAACTGGGTTTTTTATCAATCAATAACCATTGAAACATTCATATTCACAGAACTACAAGTGAAGAAATTGGATCCTCTTCTTAAATGGGTCGAATCAGAATTTGGGTTCAAACCCGTTGTATATTCAAGCTTTTTTGGGGGCAAACAAGAAGATGGTCTTGTAAATGCCATAAATACCCTTCTGAAGAAAACCAATGATAATGAATTGGCAGCCATTGATGCTCTTACTTCAGCATCACACTCGTTAATAATCTCAATTGCAATTTTTCGTGGGAAGCTTCAGATTGATGAAGCAATTGAATTGATCAGACTCGAAGAAGATATGCAGGTTCTTCATCTCTTTCTTTTTTAAGATAATCTTGTAATTTCACAAATGGTCCTTGTGGTTTTAAATTTCTCCCCAAAACAGTCCTTATGAAACTTTTTTTTTCGCATGAACTGTCCCTTTCGACAACACTCTGCACACCAATTGTCCCTTATGACTACACTGTTAGTTTTTCTTTTAAGTTCAATATGAAAACTGAAAAGACCTTTTTACCCCTCTGTTATGAAAAGACCTTTTTACCCCTTTTTTATGAAATGACCTTTTTATCCCTCTGTTATGAAAAGACCTTTTTACCCCTTTTTTTTATGAAATGACCTTTTTATCCCTCTGTTATGAAAGGACCGTTTTACCCCTTTTTTATGAAATGACCTTTTTATCCCTCTTTTATGAAAAGACCTTTTTACCCCTCCTATATGAAATGGCCTTTTTATCCTTTTTTATGAAATGACCTTTTTACCCCTCTTTTATGAAAAGACCATTGGTGTGCTAAGTTTGGTTGAGAGGGACCATTCACGAAAAAAAAGTTGCGTAAGGATGGTTTTGGAGACAAATTTAAAACCGTAAGGACCATTTGTGAAATTTTATTGCAATTAATTCATTTTTTTTTTTCTAAAATCGTTTTTTAGGTTGAAAAATGGGGTTTGGTAGAAGGTGGTCATGATCTTGATGTTGCAGACCTTAAGGTGCAAATCGCATCAGCTACTGTTTTCCTTGGACTTACTAAAAAATTATAAGTAGAATTACAATTTTGCCCTTCAGCTCCTCTCTTATCAATGTTGTTTAAATATTATCAAGCATTCCTTCATAAATGCTAAAAACCAAGCCATCTCGAATGATAAAATAAAACACATAACATTTTTGTTTTGATTTTTCACTCATCATTTACAATTACATTTCATTTTTACTAGAAATTAAAAATAAATAAATAATATTAAGCAAATAGTTTTACATTTGTTTGAGAACTACGATGGCTCTATGATTCTGTGTTTGATGTATATCTGCATGTAACATGATGGGTTAGTTGAAAATACGGAGATTATTGAAGGGCAATTTAGTAAATTGTGTCGATACCATGGTTGTAAGGTTTTAATCCTCGCAGCATTGAATGCAAATTGGTGGTTGTTTCTTGATATCGCAGTAGCAACAAGCTATATCACAGTTACTGCTGCATCCTATCAAAAGTTTATAATCATGTATTTTTTGATTAATCGACTATCGTTTAATTGATTATTTATATTTTTTTTGTTTGAAATATAATATTATACACGTTGCAATTTAAAATAGTAAAAATGATTAAATACAAACATTAGATCCAATGTTATCAATTTCATTAAATGTATTATTAAATATGACACATGTTGATATTTGATAGGGTGGGAAGATAATGTAGGAAGATATTGAATTTCTTATTGATTAAAATGTAGGAGGATATTTAATTTTTCACACATGTTAATATTTGATAGGGTAGGAAGATAATGTACGAGGATATTTAATTTCTCATTGACTAAAATGTAGGAGGATATTTAATTTCTCTATTGCTAAAATTTCCAAACCTTATGTAGTGAAAGATCAAAAACATGGTATAAAGAACCTTGCGAGTATATTTCAAAATCCATAAAATCTTATGTAATAAGAGGGTGTGATAGTTAACTGATAAAAATGAAAATTTTAAATGATTATAAAATATTTAAAATAAGAATTTGGGTAAATATGATATAATTTTTTTTAAAAATGGACAAAAAGATGTTTATGGTTGCGTTTAGCCCATTTTTAACATGCCCATTATTCATCTTTAGCAACTTATACTGGTAATGTTTGGAAGTATAACTTTTTCAACTTCATCAATTTATACCATATTGCTTTTTTTTTTTTGGTAATGTACATAAAATCTACTATATTCGGATAATTTATATGGTTTAACCATTATATTTCTAAGCCACCGATTTTTGAAGAAAAAAAAATCATTGCCACAACATTAAATATAGTGCTGAATAAAAAACAATATACACTTTAACGTTTATACTATCTTTTACACTATAATTATACTATAATTATAAGTATAATGTAAAAAAATAATGATAAGGTTAAGCAAGTGTTAAAACTAACATGACTTCTCATTTATCTTACCGTTTTTTGAAAGAAAAAAAAATCACTACGATAAAAAAAAAAATCACTACGATAACTATGACCAAACATTTCCAGTTTAGCATGCATTAAAACTAACATTACTTCTCATTTACCTACAAGATATTTCATTACCTACATGATATTATATGTACTTTATGAATCTTGCTTCTTGAAATGAGTTCTTATTTGCCAGTTTCTTAGGTAGTACGCTTGATATGTAGGAAATTGAGAAGTAATGAAAGGTCATATCAGGTGTAATTTACACCTGCTAAATAGGAAATACGGAGCCATGGCTGCCGCAATGGAAATGTCTTTAAAAAAATATGTCATTTTTCTTGAACGGAATAATATATAGTGGTTAAGTTGTAAATATCTCAAAATATACTTGCTATATATTGAAGTATGTAAAACAGAAATCTATAGAAAAGTTTCAAACTTTTGGGAAAAGTTTCAATAGTTATGATTTTTTTGAACAGTAAAATCTTATTATTTTGAGAAAATCATATAATCTGTCATTTGCTGGTTAAATATATATAAAAAAAATTCGTTAATTTGGACAAAATATTAAATAATCGGAACTTTTTTGTTAAAAAAAAAAACTTTTAAGATTTTTTTGAAACTTTTCTCAGAAGTTTAGGATTTTTTTGTAGATTTTCCTAGGTCAAAAAGAAAAAGTTTTGAAGTTTCAACATCACCTGTAACAAGGAAGTAGTCTAACGGTTGGATTTCTTGTGAATTCATGCCAAATGGTGAGTGTGTTATTGCCCCAACTTGAAAAAAACACAACAAAAACCAACCAATTGCTAATGGTAACAATTTCATGGTTTTCTAGAGACCAAATTTAGCATGGATTTTATGGCAAGATTTTATAGTTGGTGGGTGGCAATATTTATTTAAAAACAAAAAAAAAGGTAAGAGTTTGTAGTTGGGAGTTAGGAATGTGAAGAATCTATATAACTCAAATGACATGATTGCCCAAAATTATGGCACCTGTGTTTAGTATAATCCTAAATTAATTGGCCTATTAGTCATACATTGATGATGTCCAATTTAGGAAAAGCTTAAATCTTTTATCAACATTACAATGCATACACCATGATTCATGTTAGTGTCTTGGACCTTGCAAGATCAACATGTTGGCTAACATATAAGAGCATTACATCGGTGCTCTTTCACGTCTTTGCAAAAATGTCAACTAAACATCATATTTCAATTAGACAAATGGTGGGCAACTTATTATAAAAATCATTAAAACATGTAAAGTAATTAAATATTATTAAATGTGGGGACATTATTTCTTTGCAAGGCTTTCAAATATAGCATGAAGTAAGTGTTGGTGACATCAAATGTGATACAGATGGCACATTGCAAATAAATTGAAAGGAGCGTTGTGGATGGTCTAAAGATGTTGATCATGTTTAATATTTATATAATTGCAATGATAATATAATGCATATATTTTTAAATAAATTAATTCAAAAGATTGTAACCTTCGACTTTATGTACCACATAAGTGCGGGTTATTTAAAGTAGAGGGCAATCATGTAAGTTTTGTGCGACAATAACGTCCATTTTTAACCGAAGAGAAAAAATTTAATCGAAGAGAACAAATAAATTATATACATACCACCATTTTTTGTTTGTATTCCTCTCATTTGAGTGTAATAATGTTTGTATAACCGTAACGATTTATATTATTGAAGGGGTATATATAATAGCACACAAGAGAAAATTCTATTAGCTGACACCAAACTTTGAAGTACGAAAAAATGTCTTGACAGAGAATAAAAAAGTAATTATAGAGTATTATATACGTCAAAAAACGATATAATAATCCAAATCAAAGTTAAAAGCCATAAATAATGTCATCATCCTAATAACTAAAATATTTTTAGCTTTAAAATTCATCAAAATGAAAAAAATAAGAATATTATTAGGCAAAATAAAATCTCAACCCTCATGATATTAGGTCAAAAGAAGATTTAAATTAACTTTTTACCCTTTTTATTATGTTTTACATAAAACAAAAGGTTAAAAAAAAGTCAAAAGCCCAAAAAGGTAAAAATATACAGAAGTCTACACAATCAATTAGGAATATTATTTGAGTTGGAATCGGACCGAACCAACATGAATAACCCGAAAACCAAAGGAAACTAATTGGAGGAACTGACACCCGGGCCAATTAACCTAATATAGGTTCAGTTCGGTTCAGGTATTAATTGGTCCGGATGAATTATTACCCGAATAACCCGAATAACATTCACAATAGGATTAACGATCTAGTATAACTGGAAAAACCAAAAAACCATATTACGATTCTAAGACCTGAATAACATTTACAATATGATTATAAATACTATATTTTTTATTATCTTTGTAGCTTATGATTCCATAATAAAACTTTTAATGAAACAAATCTGTTGATTGAAAATGATAAAAACATACATAATTGTTTCAAATATGCAAAAAAGTGGTGGCATTTTTTTTTTTTTTGAAACGGCAAATCTAACCTACACCTAAACTACACCTTAAATCCACCTATATCTACGACAGGATTTGAACCCTCAACCTTAAGGAGGGGGCAACACCGGATACCGCTGGACTACAAACCCTTTTAAGTGGCAGCATTTATTTATAAGCATGCATAGTAAAGACAAATATATAATCGTAGGTTTACATGTAAACACAAATTATAAATTTGGTATGTTTTTGTTCCCAAATTAACATACCAAATATTCGATATACACTAAAACTGATTTCACTTTTTATTTAAATGTATTGTAAACACGAATGAACTATTTTTGACATATAAGAATGTGAAATCCAAACACCAAAATCTTATTTAATTTTCGCAAACATGCTAAAATTCTGGATTAGAAATTTTTAACCGAGTAACTTTTTATTTAGATAACCCAAACCGAGAAACCCAAAAGGCTTAATATAGATGCCAAGAAACCCAAACCAAAATCACTTATTCCAACCTAATTCGGTTCGTTTAGGATTTTGGACAAGAGTTCTGGGTTTTGATCCAAACACTCATTTCTACACTCAATGTCTAAATATTAAAAAAAAATAAAAATAAATATCCTCTTACTTTTTTTTTTCCTTAATTGTTTTTTACCTACATCAACATAACTCAAATCATTCGATTTGTAAGCTCACGAGTTCAATTATCACGATCAAAACCTTCAACAAGATCACTCCTTCGGTTAAATGGGGATTATTACACGGTGTACAAAACAATATCAATTTGTGTAAGTAAAGTACATTGCTTTATTTATTTATTTATTTTGCAATTATCCATGTTTGTATAAAGTATAAACACAAACCAAATTGATTAATTTATTTATCAAAGACTAATAGCAAGATAAGAACATCGCCAATGGGTATTATTAACAAACAAATATGATAATCAACAAGATCTTCAAGTATAAGTGTATAACAATACCAAATTACTTGTTCCCAATTACGTCTGAAGACTCTTGATGTTCTGAATTTGCTTTCCGGGATTCAGACCTTTTGGGCATGCACGAGCACAATTCAAAATGGTATGACATCGATACAACTTGAATTCATCATTTACTGCATCTAATCTTTCCTGTGTGTACTCATCACGACTATCCATTATCCACCTGAATCCAAATCGATTCAAACATTTCAGATTCATGTTAAGAGTTTTTGATTCGATTTCAGATGTTAATCAAGAAACAGAAAGAGGTGATGTGATGAGATGAGATGAGAGGAATGGATTGTAGTCATTGTACCTATTGGCATGGAGAAGAGCAGCAGGGCCGAGATAAGATTCAGGGTTCCACCAATAGCTAGGGCAGGAAGTGCTGCAACAGGCGCACAATATGCATTCATACATTCCGTCGAGTTTCTCTCGATCTTTCTTACTCTGTGGAATCTCTTTCCCTTCCCAACCGGCCGGCGCCGGAGACTTCCGCTTCAACCATGGTTCGATACTCTTGTACTGATTATAGAAATTGGTCATGTCCACCACCAGATCCTTAATCACAAACATATGCGGCAAAGGCGTAATCATCGTCGTCTCTTCCGACGGAATCTTCGTTAAACAAGCCAGTCCGTTACATCCGTCGATGTTCATAGCACATGATCCGCAGATTCCTTCACGGCAAGATCTACGAAACGTTAGAGATGGATCGATCTCGTTTTTGATCTTGATAAGCGCGTCGAGTACCATCGGTCCACACTCCTTGAGGTTTATCTCGTAGTTTCGTAGTTCCGGTTTGCCTGGATTGTCTGGATTCCATCGGTAGATTTGGAAATTCTTTAGGTTTTGTGAAGATCTGGTGGTGGGTTCCGATTGTTGAGCTTGAGGCTCGGAGGCATGAGCTCGGGAAAGAAAAAGCGTCGCCGCCGGCGACTTATGAAGCCTGGAAATACCTCTGCGTACCAAACCAGTAGCCATTGTTATGGAGAAGGGATTATGTAAAATGACGAAAATGGGTAAAGAAAGGAGGAGGGTTTATAAGGAAAAGAAACCGTCCTTGCGTGGATTGGGGTTGTAATTCTAGTGGCTGTTGAAGGGTAGTTCGGGAACATGAGCGTATATTTAGTGGCTGTGCTGTAATCACGTGGGGCGGAAGAAATATGACCGGCGAAGGTGATGACGTGGCAAGAAACGAGCCCTCGGAGAAGTATAGGGTTCGTGTGGTGTGCGCGTGGAGCGATTAATTACCAATAAATATCTCACATTGCGTGAACAATTTTAAGAAAAGATACTACCTACAACAAGTCACCAAATATCACAAAAAAGTAAAACTAATTGAAAACAAAAAATATAAGTTTGAAAATTAAAAAGTTATAAAATTAAAACTAAATATTATATTAATGAAATTTACAAAATAAAATAAACATTACTTAATGTTGTCGTCCTCATTGTTGATGAGATGGTTGTTGTATGTATGCTCGGTAAAATCCTTTAACATTTAGAGTTGCATTATCTTTATGAATACAACTATAATCATTCTAAAGACAAAAGGTACTCTCTATCACATTAACATAATGGTGATAAACATAAACATATCATCATTGGACTCAACATTTGGAAAATAAATCTTTTAATTGTCTTGTATAATATTTATGACATTTGGAAAATAAATGTTTTAATTATCTTTTATAATATGTATGAGAGTAACAATGATTGTTGTATGGAAATAATGTTTAGAATTCAGGTTTATTTATAAGTAAACACTACTAGAAAATAGACCTTTAATGACGCGCTTTTTACGACACGCGCTGATTAATGATACGCAAAAGGATGTGCCCTTAAAATAGTGTTATCTCTCCAAAAAATTGAAGGATTTACGTCACGCATTATTGCGTGCCCTTAATTTAGTGTCTCAAGAAAAAAAAAATTAAAAACACGAAGGGCACTTTATCTTAAACGCGCGTCGTCTGTACCTGTCGCTTTATAATTTTAATGAAACGCGCTTTCAGTAGACAAGGGGGAAAAGAAATCCCCAAAATTTTGAAAACCCGCCTTGATTTTTCTATCTTCTATCTATTTTTCATCCTTGCAATTCACTCTCCCCTCTCTTATGCTCTCTCCTCTAGATCTCCCTTCATTCTCTACCTTCCGTCTCATTGTAAACCTCGAAGGTGAATCGTAATTGATCTGCGAGGTCTCCTTTTTTTTTTTTTCTCGGGTATGACAGCATCCCAATCCATTAACCCCTTTCATTTTTCATTAAAAAACCCTAATTGACTTGGCAAGTTCATGAACCAGATGTAGTACATTCCAAACTGGGGATTTAACCAAACCCGATAGAGCCATTGACGGAATCTTTGGATTCGGTCAACAAGGACTCTCTGTAATCGCGTAGCTTTCTTCACAAGGGATCGCTCTAGGTCTTCAATCTATCAATCTACAATGGCCATTGTCAAGTTACATCGAATCAAGGTCTAGGGTTTCAAATGCTTCAAGTTCTTCCCAAATAACTTCCCCTCTCAAGACGATTTTCCTCAATTTTCTATCGAACTTGGTAGCTGTTGAACCGGTGCGTATCGGTGTCAAGAACTTGCCCCGAGATCTGTTGCATTTATGAATGAGGAAGATTTGGTAAGGCAACTCACTCGATATTCTACCTCTCTCGTGTTTTCAACACATAAAACACAGACAAACCTTGAAGACAAATTTCAAGCTTTTGAATAAGAATCCTCAAAAACCATCGTGATTTCAAACGAAACCCCTCACCCTATCTAGAGTCCAGACGCTTCTTCTCTGTCAATAGCACATAAAATCTAGGTTTTCTATTGTTTCTATCGACCAGAGACTTTCAATGGAGAAGACAAAATCTGGAAAGAAAGATTCAGATGCCTAGAAATTCATGGGCATCAACAAAGTTTTTTGATGTATTGTTTCTATCTACTTTTTTTTTTCTGTGAACTCAATGAATTAACTTTTCTCGTATGTGTTTAGCATGTCTCATATCAAGAGACGAATTGTTGATGTGCTTCAACCTGGGGAGACCGTAAGTTTCTTGTTATGTCAAATTGTTTAATTCTCTTTTATTATTTTTCAAACTGATTGATGAAAATAATAAGTATAATATTCTTTTCAGGTGTTGCAAGCTTTAAGAAGGCTGAAAGGAAGTTCTAATAGAAAGGAAAAGATGTTAGCTGAAACAAAAATTGTGTCTGATCAACTAACTGAAGATGCCATGAAGCTGATGGAGGATGTTGACTACAGTTGAGATAATCTTCTTTCAACATTTATCTTTATATTTATTATAAATTTGTCAGCATTCTGATTTATGTCATAAATATTTATGTAGATGTGTATGATGAAAAACAGGAGGTCTTTCAGAGGGAAGCAGGTAATTAGCATTTCTTTATAAGTTTAATAATGAAATGATTTAAATATCAATAATATAGTATTTCTTATATTCTTAATTATTGGGAATGTTATTAGTGAAACTCTGATTTCATTTGTTTTTATAATTACATAGGGATTTGAGAACCTAGCACGTGCTAGAGGGGAAGGGACCTCTTCTAGTTCAGGAAACAAGCAACCTAATTCCTCTGGAATGAGTGATTCCGGTCTCAATGGAATACCTTCCGCAGATAATACTGCAAACAATGAGGATGATTCCTTTGACATGTTTGCTGAAGATGATGACAAATCTACTGTTGATCCATCAGCTGGTAAGCAGACATGAAGTTTTTTCGTTTTTTCCATTCAGATGGTTTATTACAATATTGCCCCTCAATTCTGTTTTCACTTGCAGGCATTGGATCTACAGAAAACGATTATGTATTTGATGAATCCTTAGGGTATGCATCTCTTTTTGTTTTCCATTCAGATTTATATTTAGTCAAAAAGAAACAACATGTTATTGTTTCTGTATTTTTATTTTTTAATTTTTTTTTAAAGTTACTACTACAACATCAGTTTAGGATATTATTATGACCCATCTTCAGGACTGTATTGCAGTGCAGCATCTGGACAGTAGTAATATATTATATAATGTGGTCACTATTTTCAATCTGATTTAGTATTATTTGAATTATACTGATTTTGATTTGGAGATAAAATGTGGTTATATATAAAGTAATGTGTTTGTGTTTTGTATTTTCCAGGTGTTCTTGTAACCAAGAAACTAGTGACTATGAGGAGTTTCCATCAGGGGAAGGCAATGGAAATGGAATTGCAACATAGTGGAATGGAATTGGAATCACAGGTTTGACATCCTGCTGTGCGTGGTACTTATGGAAGCTTCATTCAAATTTCAACATGTTTAGGGTTGATGGGAGCTCTTTTAATCGGGATTCCTGTAAAGAGCATCTCAGGCTGGTAACAAAGCTTTGTCTACCTCTGAAACTGTAATTAACATTTTAGATTTGGATTCATTTTTTGAATGTATGTCCAGGTGGCGTATCTGCTTTTGGTTATCTACAATTCCATCCACAATACTTGCTCTTGCTATGATATTCTGTGCAGAAAGTCCACATTGGCTTTACAAGGTCTATTAAGTGTCATCGTCTTCATTTCTATTTGTTGATAAAACAAGGGCATATGAGTAATGCTGAAATTTGGGTGCATAATCTGTGCATCGATCAACTGACAACGATTATGTGTATAATTTGGGTTCAAGGAAAATTAATTTCACCAAAAGTTCGTGATCAAGAGAAGTAAAATCATCAGCAAAAAGTGTAATCAGTTCAGATTTTTATTCCGTTTATACTTGAAAATCTACTTGTAAGTCACTTCTAAATACTGTAATACTGTAAATTTCAACTCTTTTACTGTGGCAACTTATGAACTCCATTATGTTTGACATATGATTAGAATGGCTATGGGGCGAGCTGGATGCAAAGTAAAATTGGTGATTTGGGTTCCAATACAACATTAAAGGAACATCATTTGTCATTACTATTTTAAGTGTGATGGATTTGATAAAGCATCATCAAGAAGAATCAACTGGCATACCAATAATGATATTTCATTGAATTATTTTCTTGGCTTAAAAAAAGATTGTTCTTAAAATTGCTCTGTGGAATGAAAAGAATCAATGTGGAATGAAAAGAATCTGTTTACTTGTGATTCTTCTCGGTTAATGATATCTGGACAGGAGAGAATGTTATATGTAAGAAATCCTTCTGTTTCTCTCAAATGTTGAGTTATATCATGATAATGATATATATTTCTTTTCAGGTTGTTGGTGTTGGAAGCCAGAATTTAAGTCATTGATTCATCCCATGTAGTAAGGAGTCAAATTCAGAATTACCACATGCAGTCAACTGTTTTGGAAATGAGTATATATTCAATCTAGAGACACAGAGGTAATAATCAAGTAATCTAGCAAGTATATGTGTATGTATGATATTTGTAGGGCTAATCTGATGTAATTTTGTTTGTCTGTTTGAGCAGGCAACACTAGTTCATTCCAAAAGGTTAATTTTTTTTGCATTCCCTAAATTTATTTTTAAACTATAAATACTTTATAATGAAATGTTGTATAATGTTTATCTAGATAAAATCCTATGTTGTTGCTGCTTCAGGTATGTTCACAGATCATTATTTTGAAATATTTGGTGGCATTTTGTTTAAATGTTTGTTGTTGACACAGACAAGAGTTGAAGACATGGAAATTGAGTTATCGGATAATAAGGGCATAAGATTGTCCCATTGTTCAAATACATTGAGAAAATGAGAACAACGACCATACAAATAAACAAGGAAATCAAGGTGTGATTCATCTTTTTTATGTATATAAATAATAATACCATGAATAGACATTAAATTAAAAAGGTCAATGTTGAGTGCGTTTAGCCAGCTGGCAGTTGCAACACTATTAGGCCCTGAAAAGGAGAGAGAAATCAACTGGTACTTACAGCCTGGACATAAGGAGAAGCTGATTGGACAGTTGACACCAATTATTCACAAGATTTCAGAGATTGTTTTATGTTGTGCTATTAGTCAATGTACTCATGCAAAATGCTTGGTCCATAAACATTATAGCCATAGGGCTATCACCTGAGGATTGGATACAAGTTTCACCAGCATGAATTTTTCCTCTTCTGTTTTATAAATTATCATCATCACTCAATCACGATGGCGAAGCATGAGCTTGTATAACATCATACCTTATTCGGTCATGGCTTGCATCCATACATTGCAAGAGCAAGAACTAGGTCTAGGTTATGCATATACAATATATTCTTAAAACATCTAACTAGTAATGTGCATGCTATTTTTAGGTCATGCTATTTTGAGGTACAACAGTTTGCCCACTCTATCCCTTCTTTAAAAAAAATTGAAAGATTTGGGTTTTGGGATATGAGAGATCAGTTAAAGCTGTTGAAGAATTCAAGAGTTTTGCAGTAGAAGGCAATGTATATGAAACCATATGTTCCAAGATTGCCCCTTCCATATTTGGCCATGCATATGTAAAAAAAGTTGTGGCATGTCTCCTGTTTGGAGGATCAAGGAAGGTATAATGCCAACTTTACCCTTGAATATTGTTGTCTGTACTTAATCATTTAGGAGCTCATTTCCTCTATTTCTACAAACTTTACCTGATGGTGTAAGATTGAGGGGTGATATTCATGATTTGCTCTTGGGAGACCAGAAGACAGGTTGGATTAAAAATTAAACAAGGTGTCTCTTAATAGCAATGTAATAATAGGTTAGATAGTTAGGGATTGTATTTTTTGTATATTATTATTTGTATGACATTAAATTTTATGCAATGGATTGTATTTTTTGTATATGATATTTTATTTTATATTATGAGACATTAAATACAAATTTAATTTGAGAATTAGTAAATCTATAAATAATATTTTTTTAAACATTTAAAATTATGATACGCAAAAATGTGTGTCATCTTCATTTATGACATGACCTTTCTTGACAGGGGCTTTCTTGATACGCATTGCGTGTCATTAAAACGCGCGTCGTAAGGTTACGACACGCGAATGCATGTCGTCTTTCTTTATGATAGGGACTTTCTTGATACGCATTGCGTGTCGTAAACGCGCGCCATAATCGCGCGTTGTAAATGAGCGTCGTAAATGCGCGTCGTCTGAGCCCTTTACGACGCACAATGAGCGTCGTAAAAGGCTGTTTTTCTAATAGTGAAAATTACAATTTTTTTGTTATGAAAACAATCGTTGAAAGTTTGAATTGGCCAATGTTGCGTTCCAAGGTGTGACCTTAGCCACGACCTCTCATGCGGAGAAGCTTCCACACCAAACCAGGACGGCGTGCGTAACGTGACATTTTGTCTACGTATATGGTATTGTGGTTTCATTGGCTTGGGTCTCTTAAATGATGACTCTCGCATGTTGTATGCCAGAAAAACATTTGTTTATTTATCTTGGTCTCCCGATAGTTTGGATATTTCTCGTATTATTGGGTGGCAAAAAGGTTCTTGAAGAAATTGTCTTCTTGGAAAGCTAAGATGCTTTCCATGGGAGGTAGGGCAGTTCTATTGAAATCGATGTTGGGCGCTTTAGCCATATTTTATGTCTATTTTTAAAATGTTGACAATTGTTAACAAGTTTTTAAAAGGTCAGCGAATTAAATTTTTTTGGAGAGGGGATCTTTTGGAAAGAAAATAACTCGGATTAAATGGGGCATGTCTATAGCTAGTATAAATGGGACATGTCTACAGCTAGTATACAAGGCGTTGTTGCTTAAATTGAAATGAAGATTTTTTTTTCTCTGGAAATCCTCAAGCTTTGTGGGTTAAAGATTTGTAGTCGATTCATGGTGTTTATAAAGATCTTGATTCTGGACAGGATCTAAGGGAGTCTAACATCGTATAATTTGTTTTATAAATCATTTTCATGACATAAGGGTCATTCCTAGTTCGGCTATGCAAAGAAAGGTTAGCGATAGATTTACAATCTTTGCTGGAAAGATTTTTGGTTGGGGGGAGGATTCTTTGCTTATTAGATTCCCTGGATTTTTTTTCTTCTCGAAAATAATAGGGATTGTTTGATAAAAAATAGATGGAATGGTACGATGTTGAGCTAAAACTGGCGTCATCAGATCACGGGATGAGTTGTGTTAAGTAAGTTTCGGGAGCTTAATGAGTTGCTTAGTTTAGTTCAAATTACATACTAAAATGATAGTTGGAATTGGAACTTGGAAAATAATTTAATATCTATAGTCGGTGAAACATGAACGTATATCGATGATATCACTTTGTCACATTCTAATATTTATATTCATTGGAACAATGTATCCTCGGACAAGATAATATTTTATGTTCGAGGCTTCGGTTGGATATACTTCCAAATTGCTCAAACTTGGCTCATAGTGGTGTTGATTTGAATTCGTCTTTATGTATAAGTTGTATGCAATTTCCGAAAACAATCAATCATACGTTTATTGGGTGTGAGGTTGCAACCGCTTTGTGGTCTAATGTAACGCCTACGCTTCCTGCTTGGCATAATTATAAAATTTATATTTACATCGTTCGACGATTGTAACCTTTTAAGAATAAGTGAAAAATAATTATTCGAGTATATGTTATATGCATGAACATTTGACAAATATTATTTGTATATAATATTTGTGTAAAAAAATTATTTTAAAAACTTCATAAATATGGCTAAAACATACGTTAAAAATAAAAAGATTATTTAGGATAAGTAATTTTAATGAAAGTTGTAAGGAACCTAAAATTATAAATTATATGTTATAAGATATATTTGGTCTAAACATATTTAAAAGTGAACCCAATTAGTGAAACGATAATTTTTTCGTTACACCTATTTTTCGATAATAATTGACCGGATACTTTTCACGACGTTAGTTGTCGATTATAAACTTGGATAAGAACGAATAAATAATCTTGATACGAACAAACAAATCTGGATACAAACAAATTAAATGATTTGAATAAGATTATAAATGTTATAATGATTTTATTAATAAATAGTTAACGGACTATAATATAACTTGAAGAATATATTATGTTCATACAAGAATAACCGAGGGAACATAAATATAATTATAATTGATTTTAGAATTGCAAATGATCTAACCAACGTATATGAAATATAAGAAATAAGAAAGGTGGTACATATTTTATTAATTAAAAATAACATGTGTTGTTTAAATATGTGATCATACAACTTCATTTCATAAAAATGTATAAATGTTAGTTTTACAAGATGACTAAGACAATTATAATTGTACATATGTGTCCACATTTATGTTACGTGTTGATTTTGATAAGATTG